GCAAGACATGCGTGTTAATGCATTTGCTTGCCCTTGAATTGAATCGGTGACAGCTAAGCAACCTTGGCAGGCTCAGCGCAAGATCACCATCCGCAGAGCACACCACGTACGTTCAAAAGGCTTTGGATGGATGAGAGGTTTGAGCCTGCCTCACACCCCACATGGCCGAACAGTAATAAGAGCATTTTGCCTCTCATGGTGGTTTGTCAAAACTAGTTGGGGAGAAAAAAAAAATTTTTTTTTAGTTCAAACCTACCTGGTGAGTTTAGATGATAAACATTTGCGGAGATCAGCAAAACACTACTGCTCTCTAAATATGCTCTTTGCTATCATGCGCTGTAAAGCATCTGTTCATCTTAACATATTTATCAATGTTATTTGTAATATAATATAAAGTTTTAGAGCACCTAGCTGAATGATGGATGGGGAAGGCTTCCCTTCATTCCCTGGTTTCCTTGCTTAAAAGCAAATGCACACAGTGCAATTCGGCTCACTTGCTTTTAGCCAAGCAAAAAGCGACGGTCAAGTCTAAGTCAGTTGTCCAAGACCCTTCTAGAGCCAAAGGAAAGGGAAGAACTGCTTCCAGGGCACAATTTGTCTAATCAGCTAAAAGGTGTCTGCATGAGGTGGGCTGAACCACTGCCCAGAGGTTCTTCTCTCTCCCTCTCTCACCACTTTGGGGGAGCCCCAGAAGCTAACGAAAAGGGTAATGGGCTCCACCCTGGGGCAGCCTGTAAAATGACATCAGGACATTTTCCTTAATCATACAGGAATATTTTGATGATAAAGCTGTTGAAGAATATGAAATGCTATAAATATGGGTAGTTGGGGACTACGTAAGTACCACAGATAGACACTCCACGTCAATCTTTCTTGGAGAAATAATGTTGACTTCACAGCCAAACTTGGTTTTATTTTCATCTATGTTGTTGCAGGATAAAAGAACAATCAACCTGCAGCACTGTTGTAATCTTTTTCTCAGCAATGTGGAGTTCTACATCAACATGCAACAATAGAGACCATGCTAATAATCTGTTAAAGGTTTTTGCTTAAACAATCTACATGAATTTAGCTGCGATGGTTGTACTTTCTTTTCCTTGCATTTAAAATGAGAAAAAATGGGTTTCAAAGATGTTGCTGATATGACCAGTGTCAGCTCAAGGGATTTTGCAAACCTGGGCAAATGAAAATGTTTGCCTTTTCTAGAAAAAAGTTGCTCACAAACTAAATAGTCATAAAACATGTTGCAGCTCCTGGAGCTCCAGTGCTGTAGGCAACCACTTGCTCTGTCTCTCTGACAGAGTAGGTCCTGTGTATAACTGAAATATAACAGGAAACCTCAACACAGATACAAAGAACAGAAAATACTTTTGCACAAAAGACCTCTGCTGAAAACAGACGAGAGGTATATGCAAAAATATGAGGTCAGCCCTGAGCCAGGGCTTGTTCATATGTCACTTCTCCTAGGATGAACCAGAGGAGAGCGGCAGACATGCACCTGGTGTAAAGTCTGTGGTGGTAACGGTCTCGTGAATAAACTGCGTGTTAAATGGTGCCTGTAAAAATAAGTGAAGCTAAAGTAATGTTGTTGGCTTGAGGTGAAGAAATCTTTTCTCCTTTTTTTTCCTGTAGGTGGAACTTCAACCTGTATTTTCTAACAACGCCACAGAAAATATTTTCTTACTCACCTGGTAGTGTAAATCCTTACATAGAGAACCTCAAACACTGGGTGAGGTGACCTGTGCATCTGACAAATGACCTACCCATTTATGAGCTTAAATAATGATTTCGATTTCTAGCTTTGAACACATAAGCAATGATATTTCCAGTCTCTCTTCAAAAGGGTGGAATTCGACATGGCACGAAGCAGTCTAGAGAAAGCACGACACTTAAGTGACACTTAAAACCACATAAACATGGCTCAAAACAAAAACATTTTGGGAAAAAGATTTTACAGGCTCACATTAAAATCAATGTTCCTTTTGCGTGTCAGTTCAAGGGGATGGATTACCCATTCTCCTCCACTCATTCAGACTCAAAAGAGTTTTATTTTTCTTTATGCAAATCATTTTTTTATTTATTTACCTTGGAAGTCCAGTATCTTATTCTCTTCATCTAGAAGCTTCATCAGTTTATCGTACAGGATTTGCTCATCAAATTTCATAGGATCTTAAAAAAAAAAAAAAACACAACAGTGAAACATCTATTGTTTCTTCCAGTAGTATTTCAGGAAACACTATTTTAAACTATAAAGAAAGATGTAAAAATACAAAAGTTAGAAACCATTTAACAATTAAAAATAGTTTTCATAGTGCTAGTTTCATAGCAGAGGTGACTGTCATTTTTTTTTCTTCTAAGTTGTGAAAGATGGTTCTTTATAAAAAAATATAATACTATATTTTTAAATGGTAAGCAAGATTATATGTTGATCTGGACTAATACAGGTTTACTAATTCTGATAACAGACTAGTTGAAATGATTATTTATATTCAAATTGCCAGATGAATTCTATTTGACTCTTCATTTAAAAAAAAAAAAAACCCTCAAAGTACCTAAATTTCTTTTCTAATGTGATTTGAGATCTTTATTAGGAATTTCACCTTGCTGTCCATAATACTAAGACATTATCTAGTATGAGCAGCTGTTACAGCACACTATGAATTTTGATTTTGTGGCTGGTCAGTTGTTCAAATTCCCAGTAACATCTGCAGATTTTAAAAAAAAGCAAGGGACATACACACACACGCCTTTTCCCATGAGACCTAATAAAAAAAAAAAAAAATCACTTCAAGTGTCTATGTTCAAGGGAGAAATGACCAGTTGAGACTGCCTTCTCTCCAGATCTCCTAGACCCTGGCTTCTCCAAGTTGTCAGTGAAGACAGGCAGGTAGAAGAACAAAGACATGCATGGAAGGCAGGTGAATTGAAGTACAGCTACAAGCTACTGTGGGTGGCTCTTTTTAAGTGCCCAATAGAATCTCAAACAATAAATTTTCGTTACCATGAAATTTCAGAGCCAAGTTTTTCAGTTACACCAAGCATTCAAAGAGGAAGGCTCCTACAAACCTCTCCCCCAACTACAGAATCTTTTACATTTCTTTGAGCATGTAACATTGAAATGTTCCCTTGGCGAGGGGGGAAAGCAAATCCATAGTGGGGTGTTGTTTGTTCTCAGGGCATTATCAACTCAGACAAATTTCCAAGACAAGTTTAATTTATCAAATATAGAAAAGATAATTGCTAATATCTTCATTTTCACAGAATAACCCATTAAAGAATCCCATATGATGAGCATATTAAAATGATATTTAACTTTGTATAATAGAGTTAGTGGCTGAAGATTCGCTTTTCACCAGCTATTCTCTTTGGGCATTGGGCCTGACTTGCTTAAGTCGTAAAAAGAGTGTAACTTTAAAGTCTGCCCTGATTTCTTCATCTTGTTCTACTTTTGTCTCTGTTAGTGACAAGGTAGTAGCTGGAAAGAGGAGGTAAATGAATATGGCTTCTAATCACGGGGTGACCATGCAGGACCAGACTCCAGTTCTGACTGTCCTTTTAACTCCCTCCACTACATACAAATGTAGTTCCACTTATGTAACACGTCTGCAAGGAAAAGAAAATCAGACAACGAGCTTGGTTTGCAAGTATCACCAAATCAGACTGGTTGGGGGGGAAGGAACCTTTGGAGATCATCTGGTCCAGCCCCCCCTGCTTAAACAGGGCCACCTAGAGCCCAGGTGCCCAGGACCATTTCCAGACAGATTTTTAATATCTCCAAAGTGGAAGACTTGCTCTTTGCAGAGTTGTTGGTAAATACAGAGTTATAACTGCTCTGCAGAGGTCAACACAACCAACCTGAGGCCAGTACCATTGCTAACAAACCCTTAATAAACAAGTGGTACCCCAACCTCTGAGCGACACTTTTGCTGGGGAGAAAAAGGAGGAGCACCAAAGGACAGCTGTTCACACGTGGATCTCGGGTCTAGCGTGATATGCAAGTGCCTAAAACCACCTCCCCCAGAACTGAATGGACTTTCTTAGAGCTTTCATCTGTTCCAAATTTAATACATAAATTAAAAAAACCCACCACCAACGTTTAGATTTAAGTGCATATCACTCAGCCTCAACACAAGGCAAGAGAGAACATTTTCTCCTGACGAAAACTATACTTCCTTACATCCCTTATGTGACCACTCCATCTGTACAGGTTTTTAGGCACACACATACAGTGACAGAAATCTAATTGCTTTTTATTCTCTGGTTATGAAGCAGATCGTGACTTGTGAAGCCTATTCATAAGATGAACCAAGGCAGTAGCAACAATAAAAAAAAAAAAAAAAACTTTCCTTTAAAAACTCTGAGCCAGAAGTTGACTTCCAAGGTATTACATGGCTGTCCTATACAATGAATAGGGGTTAGATGCAATTCACCCTTGATAAACCTTGATTTTTTTTAACCGGTACACAGAAATTCAAGTTATTGACATGCATTAGAGTCTGCTTTTTGCAGTCACACACGTTTTTGCCTCAAAAGTTGAAACCTCCATATGTACTTAAAGTTTCTGATGAATTTCAGAAATTATCTACTTTGGGACCCTTTACGATAGACACATTTTTTTAGATTTGACTACGACTGCATGTCTAGAGAGTCTCTGCAGTACAAATAAGCACAAGACTTTAAAAAAGCTAAGGACTAGGAAGGTAACACGGGAGAACTGGGTCTTGCGTGCTATCGGGTTGTTAGCGCGTAGTAACAGGAGCTGGGCCAAAGCATTCAGCGCGCAGCTAAGCGCTTCATCACCGCGATGATGTTCTTACTTAAGTCCATGCAAATTCAGGCAGGCCCATTCCCACCCTTTTTTATCTTAAAGCCATGACAGCCAAGGAGAATTTCCTCCACCAGACAATACCTCCTGGTTAATCTCTCTCATACCTACGCAGAGCTGCTGCTCGCCCAGCCCTGCAGAGCCACACCCTCCCACTCCTCCCTGTCGCCCACAGACAGCAAAGCTAAACATCCCGGCTAAACTGGCGAAAAGAAACCCCCAAAAAGCCTCCTTGTTTGCTGGGAACTTTTACAGGCTCTGGGGTTTCTTTCTGTTAGACAAACACACGTTCAGCTCAGTGATAGAACTGCTTTCCAAGAAGGACTTTGGGAGCAGGGTTGCAAAAAAGCTACAACTTACTGCTCCGTTGTGGACTAACTTCGTTAATTAAAGAGAACACGATACAGACAATGTTATCGGAGCATACTTCATTCTGCTGAGGTAGTGGAGTGAATACAGTACGGCCTCACTTTTACCCATCCATTAACTCACTGTCCTTGATCAAAGACTATATATGCCTATCGTGTTCAGAGTGGTTAAGGCTTATAATTTAAATTGTAAACCTCAAAATTTAAATAGAACTGCCTATGTGATCTTTGTCACCTCATTTTCATGAATGGAAAAGAATATTCTGACACTAAAATTACATACTTAATTCTGCCTCACCTTCACTGACCTCCATCCCACACTGCCTTGGGTTTATTTCCTCATCCATCAACGGGTCAAAGTAATTTCTGCTGTATTCATTTCCTGTGGAAAGCACATGAAGTAAGGGTCAGCGATTATTAGAAGCACATGAACCAAAATGTTAATTTTGAAATCGACACCAGCAAGCAAAGGGGCATTTTTTGCTACTTTATAAGCTTAATTTTTTTAACAAGTCTTCTAAGCCTACTAGTACTGCAATTATCATCTTGTGAAAGGTCAGAAAAGGTAATTCTGGAAACAAGTGCGCTTGATGTTACTTCTACTCAGGAACTAATGAGAAAAATTCTCAAATTTAGATGATGGAAAGATAAGAAAAAATTTTAAAATTCAGCATCCCCAACATACGCAAAATTATTCTTGAAACAGATTTTACAAGCGAATTACCCATGCCGCAGAGGAATTTGTGTTTCACAGCTGACCCCTCCAATTTCAACAGTTTTAAATTTCACCACTGAGGTTTCAATGTCTGGTGCATCTTTAATACTGTATTCAACCAGAGAAGTGTTTAATTACAGAGGCGATACTAGAATACTGCCTCATTAATCTGAACAGCAATTATACTCAGTTGGGCTAGGTAACTAATCCAAGATTTTGATGGGATAAAACCACTCATTTTAGCACTTTCCATTTCAGCAGCTAGTTTCATCTGCTCTTTAGAAACTAATCAAGTTTCCAAAAAAAAAAAAAGTAATTTGTTAGATTTATCAAAGAATAATGCAGCACCTAGCTGCCTAGAGGAACTCCCACTAAAAGCCAGAAGAACGAACTTTACACAAGAGGAGAGGAAGAGCTTTTTCCTCAAACTATGTCTTTCCTTCAGCAAAAGCACTACACTCTATTAAAACCATCCTCGTGTTCATTGAGTTTGCACACACAGTAATTTATTACTAAACAGAGAAAAAGTAAAATAATCAAGTCCATAACAAATTTTTAAATTGCTTGAATAGTCATAGATCTATATCCTGGAAAATACATAAGAGCTAAATGTACGAGGGGGTTAATTCATCCACGATACACTATAGTAGTCTACAGTGTATTTGTTTTAGGATCAAAAATAATCCAAGCAGCAGCTCCTTTTCAGAGACTAAATGAAACTTTGATATGAAACTAGGTTTAATTTATATTTCTGGACTGGCACATTTTGACTGTCAGTCTCTGTTCCTTCAACATAGTAAGTACAAGGACTGAAAATTTGCTTTACCTTGAGGTCTCAATAAAGAAAAAATAAATGAGTTTCATTTTTGTTACTTTATCTGTCAACAACTACTAGGCTGGTATGAATCTTGGCAGTATGTAATCAAAGTCTTATGTACTGCAATAACAGAGCCATTCTACCTTATTCACTGTAATTGTTTTTCTCTAGCACAAAGCACCGTGATGTTATATGAACAGCCCTTCACATGTTAGTAAAATAATTCACCCATGTGCTAAAAAAAGAAAATGATGATGCATTTCTTTATTCAATTACTTCATAGCTGTAAATGTAAATTGCTGGAAAGTACGTTGCAACCATACAAGCAATACTCAGCTAGTGCACAGGCTTTTTATACAGTCTCAATATCACAACAGCTTTTATTGAATTTTAACACCCCATGTTGTTTATCCTGTGGGTCTGGTGTGAAACTCTGAGGAGTAGACTTCTGGGCAACTCTTCTGGACAGAATAATTGGCACTTAGGAGGAAGTGTCATGTTATATTTGAGTCTGCAAGGCATGGAAACCATTATTCAAAAAAAGAGATACATTGACAAATACCATTAAACAGCTTGCTCTTTGGTCCTCTTTAAAAAAAGAACAATCTCAACCTTTCTTTGAGCAGTACGAGATATTTCATCCAGGGCTTTGTCTCTGTTAGAACCACACACAGCTGGAGATAGAAATTTATGCAGAAATAAAAAGAAGAACCAGGTTTGATTTCTCCAGAGCAACATACATACTTTAAAACCTACATAGGTAGAATGAGTGGTAAATGCCAGAATCGCCTCCTTATGGTGATTTTACAGATAACAATCCATTTTAAACTGCAGGACTCCACAGAAGACTTTCAGTGAGGCTTTCTGAAGAGTCAAAATCACTACAAACCTTAGATCACTGCTCTTGGGGACTTTTCGGTCTTTTGCCCCCCTCAGCTCAACATACATGTTCAGAACTGGTGTGACCTGGAGGTCTGGACTCTGGGCAGGTCTTAAGACTTGTTGGGGGCAGGGGCAGTTGCTTTAGTTTTAAAATGCAAAATTATCAATTTTAGTCAACATAACATACTGCCCAAGGCACTTTGCTAATAACATTTTGTGAGCATGTGAATGGATTACTAATCATTTCACATTTGCTTTTGGAAATATTTGAAAGTGTATAACATGTAAATTAACAGTCCACTAAGGAATTCACATCACACTGCTTCATGGTATAAACACAGTAAAGTAAATGTTAATACAGAGCTTGCTTGCAGGTATTTTGAACAGCAGCTTATAGCTTGGTGCTTTCAGACAGTAAGTTACTTTGAGTACCTGTTCCTACAAAGACTTGGCCAACTTGAGAATCTTAGGTCTTTGCTTTGATCCAGAGGTTAGCTCAAACCCATTAACTCAATTTGAAACCCTACTCATCCCTCAAAATGGTGTTATTTCATGTGGAAAACACAACATATAATTCAGGAAATCAGAACTGAAACGCAAAACCACAGATTATCTATACATTCAAATAAAAATGGAAAGAATGGTGTTGGCACAACAGTGACCAGGTGGGAATTTATAGAGTTTAATTAAAGCAAGAGGAGTTGCTAATAAAATTAGCATAATCCTTAGATGCAGCCCATGGGACTGTACACGTATTACTAGGACTGGATGAAACTCTAAGATGGCTTTTAAGCTAAGATATCTGTAGCCAATTATACAGTCTATGTCCTGAGAATACCATAGAAATAGCATGACTAAGCTGCATTTCTACAACGTCTTCTACTCCACGAAGAGATCAGGTAGCCCATATCAATATGACATCAAAGATACAACATGGAATTTGAATGACAGGCAATTCCATTCATATTGTATTATTGATCTAGATTTTTAGTTTAATGAAAGAATAGACAAAACTCTTGGATTTAAGTGCCTCCTGACCGATGTAAAAATGAAGGAATTGTTAATAGCCAGGTGACTGATTACAAAAGCTTGAATACGCATTTACTGCTGCTTGTTTTCAGAGTGGTGCTGGGTCTTAGGGATAAAAAGAGCAAAAATTTTGGCATGAGCCAGCTTTCATTCGAAGACACAATTGTGGTCTGAGCAAGTTTGCCTTAAGTAACAGCTCTCCCTTTTCAGGCAGCAGTGTGGTCAGCTCATGGCTCTACCAATGACTTGATAGAGCTTTACCAAGCATTACTAAGGCAACTCATAAAAGCCTTTTGCATAAGACTGACATCTTGGAAAGATGAAATTCCAGTCTGAGACAGAATTTTGACCCAAAGTGCTTTTGAAATAGCGATGCAGCTAGCAATGGAAAAAAGTAGTCTCCTTTCCACGTAGCTGTCTTAAAGCATTAATTTCAGCAGCAGTTCCTTTTTCTGAACATCATGGTAAACCTTCACTGTCTCCATTGCACAGGATGGAACTTATTTCCCTAGGGATACTTTGTTTTACGCTGCAGATACAGCCCTTTGGGCAGTCCAAATGTGAATTTCTAAAATATGCTAGCATATTTTCCAGTTTCTTTGAGAAGAGTATGGGATCACATGAGCCAAAGTGACATCCTGGGGTCAGACCTGAATCCCCTCTAAGAGATGTGCCCACCTCAACTTGGCCAGCAAGAATTGAGACTCAGGATCAGGAGGAAGGGGAGAGAAGGGTCCCACATCCTACATTTCGAGCTGCTTCACCCATTCACCCTTCCCTCAAGACATGGTGGGTCTTGTTGACTAGCAACCGCGCTCAACTGTTTTCATGTTTCAGTACCTACATTGACAAAGCTTGATATCTGCAAGTTGCTTCTTTGTAGATACAGGTCTTTCCTTCTAATCTGCACTTTGGAAAAAAAAAATCTATAAAGAATTATTTTTAAAAATCATTCAAAACAATTAAATTATAATAGAGGAGAAAGAAGCCTGCCCTCTTAAAAAAATAATCTCACAGAATGTGGAAGTGAAGAAAAATAAAAATCATCAACCAAAACTACATAAACAGTGAGAGTTCCTGGACAGTGAAAAATTGACTGGATTTCCAGTGAATTTATAGGCTCTTAGTTGATTTAAACAATGATTTAAAACCGGAAAATAATTTAGGAAAGTTTGAAACATTCACAAGAACATATTTTGAGGTTTTGTTCCAAAATTTTCCATTGCTATATTAAAAATAAAACTTCAGTTTCAAAAAACATGGTGAATTGATATGTAATCCACAAAATGTTAACTCTCAGTTCTTATTCCAGCAAGAAGAAAAAAAAAAAAAAAAGATAATTATTAAGAGTTAACCAGAAGTTATACTTTTAGTTTGGATTTTTAATTGTCGTTACGGAATCATGATATCTCTTACGTTTACCTTAGCTCATGGCCATTACAAATGCCTTTAAATTTATATAGGCTGATCTAGGTTGCATGTAGAAGCTGAATACCTTAAGACATTATTATTATTATTTTAGATTTACATCTAACATTATTGTCTATATTATTAGTGATAAATCTTATCTATATTATTTTAGATGTAGATCTAAAATAAGATTCCTGGGAAGCACAAAGTTCATCCAGATTATCACCAAATACATGGAGGAGTAAAGTGTTCTAAAGAGCGCCCCAAATTCTCATGAGTACCAGGCAGAATCCAATGAAAAATTATGCATTAATGGCATCCTGAAACTGAAGAGCATTAAGCAAGCGACTGGACGGTCAATTATATCTCGAAAACAGAGCTTGTTAAATACTACCATCACAGGGCGACCTCTCAATTTTTAAAAAGTTTTAAAAGTATCATATGTCATTTTCCTTATCCTCAGCGGACACCGTAGATAATGAGTAAACCACATAACTGTGTCTTATGTTTATATTGCAAGCCTTGAATA